CACACTTCTGAAAAAGGGATGACCGTTTTAGCTTAGAAGAATAAGAAAAAAACCACAAGTCAACTGATGTGATTTCATATTAAATCACACTTTACAAACCCAGGGATCTATTTGTGGCAAATATAACAGACAAAGGTTGATATTAATATCTAATATGCCTTTAAGTTTTGATGAGAAAACCAAATAAGTCTTATTTGGTGAATGCACAAAGGACTTGATAAAACAGTTGACAAAAGGGAATATGTTTGTGTGTGCACACACATTTATATACATTTAGCAATAACCGCTACCACAAGAACCTTAAAACTTATCTTTATTAAGTACTTGGTATTTCCAGGTAGTTTATATGTTTATTCTTTAATCTATTCAACTCTTTGTCCCTAGACATAATAAATAAATATGACAAAGAAATGATGGAAAATATTTGAACATTTGACTCCAGAGAGCTAACACTTAAACTCATAAGAYTGTTTACTTAATCCTTGAAATTGTATACATGTGTATACTGGTTTCCTAGAGCTACCTAGCACAGTACCACAAACTCAGTGATTTAAAACAATAAGAAATTATTAACAATTCTGAAAGGCTTTAGRTCAGTGAGGTTGTCAACAGAGCCATGCTCCCTCTATAGGTTCCAGGAAAGAATCCWTCCTTGTCTCTTCCTAGTTTTTAGTGCTTCATTCCATTTTCTGCCTCCACCTTCATGTAGCCTTCTTCCTTCTCTTCTTTGTATAATCAGTCTGTCTTCCTTTAAGGTAACCTGCCATTGGATTCAGGTCTCATCTTAGTCAAGTAKGACCTCATCTTGATTTGATTACATTTGCGGAATTTTTTTGCAAATCTAGTCACATTCTGTAGTTTTGAGTGGATGTAAGTTTTGGAAATGCTTGTCAACCCAGTAAAGTTCATCCTGTGTGTATTCCACCCCAAGTTTATATCCATTCTACATACAAAATCAATTCACCCCCTCCCAGCATCCCTTAGGTTTAACTCAAACCCATATTAGCTCTACATCCCAAATCTCATCTAACTTACCAACTCAAAAAGTTGAAGATCTCATAATCTGAATCATACAAATTAGATATGATCCATCATGGGTCAAAATTCATCTCCATCTGTGAATCTGTGAAACCAGAAAACAAGTCATCTAAAATACAATGGTGGGAGAAGCATAAGAAAAAGTTTCCATTTCAAAATGGAGAAGTTGAGAAAAGGGGGACGGATCATGGTTTGCAAGCAAGTTTGAAATTCAGGAGGGAAAATAAATTCCATTATGTTTCAAGAACTGAAAATAACAGCTGCTTACTTTGTATGTAGGCTCCTAGGGTGGTCCCACCTGCTTTTCCTGGGCCCTCTTCCTTGCTTATGAAAGACCTTTGTTGAAGGATAATATTCCCAGTCTCATAGTTCTAGCTTTGTTGGCCTGTTTCTTGCCAAGCAGTATATATTAATATATATACATTCAAATAAATACACAGAAGAGCAACTGAAGTTTGCTACTTAGTGTTAGTCTCAAGTCAAGGATATCATATTGCAGTCTAGTCTTTTTTCTGCTGTACTTTACATAATGAGAACTTAAAGATCCTTTGTCAATAACATACAAGAGGCTTTTTGTATAGAATTTATGAAAGTATAATCACATCTCACATTTTTTGTTTTTGGTTTTGTATCTCAGTAAACTTGATAGGTGAGCTAGTAAGTGAAACATTAGTGTATACATATTAGAACACTTGACACTTCTCATAGAAGCAAGACTATATGTAATCATATTTTTAAATATTTTTTTTAGTTGTAGATGGATAATACCTTTATTTTATTTATTTTTATGTGGTGCTGAGAATCAAACCCAGTGCCTCATATGTGCTAAACAAGCGCTCTACCACTGAAATCCCAGTCCTATGTAATCATACTTTAAAAAATGAAATTCATTAGAATTTCTCATAACAAATTTTTGCTATAAGCAAACACAAGTGGATATCACTCATCTTGCTGTTCTGTTTAAGAAGAATGGTAAGCTTTAACTGAGGTGCTGTTTATACATACATATTGATGAGTTAATTTTTGAGAAAATGATGTAGGGGAGATTTGAGATTCTGGTACTATCAGGAATTTTTGTCATAGGCTTGCAATAGTAGCCAAGGGTATTGACTGAATGATTTGTTGTAGGTTATTACTATGTTTAAAATAAACTTTTTAGAGCTGGGCATGGTGGCGTATGCCTGTAATCCTGGTGGCTCTGGAGACTGAGGCAGGAGGATCCTGAGTTCAAAGCCAGCCTCAGCAAAAGCGAGGTTCTAAGCAACTCAGCGAAACCCTGTGTCTAAATAAAATACAAAATAGGGCTGGGGATGTGGCTCAGTGTTTGAACACCCCTGAGTTCAATCCCTGGGAGACCCCCCACAAAAAAAAGAAAACAAAAAGGACTTTTAGTTGTTTAACGTTGCAGAACATTTTAGTTAATATCTAGTACTGTCTGCTTAATATTAAGGTCTCAGATGGAAGATCAAGGTTTTCTAAACATAACTGGTAGTAGTACCTCTATGGTTTCCACTTGTTCATCTTTCTTACATACGTATGTCCTTTCTGAATTCTTAAAAATGTTGAATAGGATGATTAAGTAGAAAATTGTAATAGCCATGAATGTGTGATAGTRTTATTAGGATGATTTGTCAGCTTTTGTCCAATAATTTTGCTAATAGATTAAGGGACAAATTTACTTTTCTAGTGGTATTTCCTAATGGTTGTTTTTATTCCAATTTCTTAAGTAAGCTATGGGATTAACAGACTTCACCAATTACATATTTCCCCCGTAATACCACAGTGTGGCGCTGTTGTGCTTTGGCTGAATATTCACAAAATGACCTTTTCCTGTTGCTGTCAAATTTCTTGTGGATTAGATAAGATGCTCTCAAAAGTATATGAAAATGCAGTCGTTGGTTATTTTTTTAGCCTTAAGTAATGAGTTCTGTGATTGCTTCCTAGTGATTGTGCTAGATTGCCTTTTATGTTAATCGTTTTTTATAAGCATACATATTTAAATTTTTCCTTCATTGCCTTATCACATTTAGTTAGAAATCAGTTTCTTAGAGGTTATAAAATGAAAACTTGGAGAAACCAACAAACAAAATGACACTGTAGATGACAATGGACACATCTTTTTAAATTATAGAGTTTTGGATCATATTATATTAAAACTATAGTTTTATATTAAAACTGCCAAATTATATTAAAACTATAGTTCCAACTCAAAATACATAAATGTTATTTTCCAAATTCAAATTAAGCTATTTCTCCTATTGTTATTACTTATACTAGAAACCATTCAAAGGAAACAACTTATCATTTATGTGCTCCCAGTATTTAAAAATCAGATTACTTCAGTTATTTTGAAGGCTTGCTTTCTTTTCTTTAAGGTTGTCTTTAGTATGTTATTTGTTGATTCAGCATGTGCCAGTGATGTGGCCCTGATCAAAACAGTTTTTATTGAGGAGCTTCTAGTTGTCTCCATAAGGTGTTGAAAAGTAATCATCAGACTATAAGAATGATCCAAGGCCCTAAAAGGGTAGAATCCCTTGTGATAGAACTGTTAAACTCACAGTTTAATATTTCAGTGCTTGAAAAAGAACAAGAATCTTTGTCTTATCTAAGTACTACTTATCATTTTAGGATAATCAGAAACACTTCCTGGCTAAATGAGCAAATTATTTTGACTCTTTAATTGAGAGCAGTGTGGGAATTAGAGTTTTGTGAGAGAACTGGCTTTTAATATTTTTCTGCCCTTGAGTTAACTGTGGGAAAGGTATGATTACTCATCATGTTATTATCAGCATCTAGAACTCATATGTTTTCAGTGAATAATAATAATGAATTTAATTGTTGGATTCTCAAAGGATGCATTAGTGATATATATGCCAGGAATGCATTAATAGGGGGAGTCAACATCTTTTTTCCAGATAGTTCTTTCCATAAGAGATGCTCATGGAGAATATAGTAGCAGCTATCACTTAAAAGAGTTGTAGTTAACAGGAACAGAAATGTCATATTTTGGAGACATTTCTGTTTTGACAGAATTTGCGGAGGGACTTCCTTCAAAGAGTTTTTACCTTAGCCCTTAGTTGTAGGAAGCAAGCCCTTTGAGTTGTGTTCTTTAATTATCACTGATTTTTAGAATGCTATGGAGTATATTGTCTTTGGAGTGTGGGCGCTAAAGATATGTTTCAGATTTTAATATGAACTTATCTTACCATTATATCTATAAAAGAAAAGAAAATCTGCTGGGTGTGGTGGTACACACCTCCCCAGCAGCTCAGGAGGCTGAGGCAGGGGGATTGCTAGTTCAAAGTCAGCATTAACAATTTAGCGAGGTCCTCAGCAACTTAGCGAGACCCTGTCTCCCAATAAAAAATAAAAAGGGCTGGGGATATGACTCAGAGGTTAAGCACCCCTGGGTTCAATCCCCAGTACCAAAAAGACAAGAAAATCTGTTTTTATTTGAAGAAGTCATATTAGAAAACATTTTGAGAAAACAGTTATTTTGAAGGAAATAAGGGTGTATTAATTTTCTAGTCACAGTAATGACTTAAAAGAACAATGTTTAGGTTTTTTTTTTTCTGATTTACAGCAAATTACAAGAAAATAATTGATTCCTTTTTTTCTCCTGTTTAGCTAGATGCTAAAAATCTGAGTTTTTGGAACATCTTTTGGTACAGCCATGTAGTTTTTATTCTTAATTATTTAATAATTTCCAATTTCACTGATTCCTGCTTAACTGCACCTCAGTTTCTAGGCTATGCTCTGCTTGAYATGACATGTTATTCTCTTAATTCCCAGCTCAATTTGATTGACTGATACTTAGTTTAAGATTACTGTGACTGGATGGGTTGCCTTGTAGTGTTCTTTTTCTATGCTGACTTTAACAGATTTTAGCTGCTCTACTGATTTTTTTTTTTTTTTTAAATAGAACAGCTAATTTTTTAATTCTGTATTTTCTTACTTCACAGGCCGAGGTTCAATTCCAGAGTTCTTTCATATTATGAAAAGAAAGTTTACCAACAAAGAATGGGAAACAATCAGAAGCTTTAAGGATGAATGGACTCAGCTGGATATGTTTTATAGGAATTGGGTATAAATTTTTTCTAACTTTGAAAAGAGAAATCTGTAATGATTCTATTATCACTAAAAATGGGAGTAAAAATCCTTTGGAAGTAAATGTGTGATTGCTTGAGAACTTTGGATTTTAACATGAATAGTAGTATTACATGATGATTTATGTTGAGAAAATTTAAGACTAATTTAGAAGTACTTTTAAAACAAAAATTCATTGTATTCCATTACCATTTAAAATGTTTTTTGTCTTGAAGAAATTCATATGCATCACTATTGTTTAGCAAATCCATAATATTTACTACATGCTGGAAGATACCATTTCAAGCTCTTAATAAGTTAATTCTTGTAACAAACCAGTGAAAGTGTTGTCACAGTTCACGCAAGAGGGAATGGATGCAGAGTTTAAGTGATTTAGCTTAAGTTTATAGGCATGATTTATTTCCATGCTACTAGAAAGGAAAATTTTCTTAAAAATCGCATACAATAACATGGTACAGAAGTAGAAATTYGTATGGTACTGGTCCTATACATTTTATGGAAAGTTTTATATTCTGAATACTCTTTTAAGAAATGGATGCCTGTCTGTATCGTAGGCGCTGAAGGAAAGCTTCATAAAAGCTATTGGTGTTGGACTGGGATTTGAATTGCAGCGGCTTGAATTTGATATATCTCCATTAAACTTGGATATAGGCGAAGTTTATAAAGAAACACGTTTGTTCCTGGATGGAGAGGAAGAAAAAGAATGGGCATTTGAGGTAAGAAATTTAGATACAGAGGTTAGTTCCCCAGTGTTTGATGATGAATGGATAAGATAGGAGGTGTTTTTGAATTTTCTCAAGAGAATTTGATAGGTGTTGTATGGAGTGGTAACATCAGATTGATGTATATAGTGGTTAAGGAAGGGAGGTATCAAAGATGATGTGAGCAGTGCTTTGACTTCAGAGGACTACCTATTGAGATATAGAATGTTATAAAAACAAATTAAATTGTTAAGTTTGAGATGCCACTGAGACATCCAAGTGAAAATGTCAAGTGGGCAAATAGAATGAAGGGCTGGGACCAGAAAAAACAAACAAACAATAATCATTTATATATGGATATTTGAAGCCATGGGATGAAGTTGAAGTTATGACATTACCTAAGTAGTAGCTATAAATTGAATCTAGGAAGAGGAGAACTCAAGTTGAAGCAATGAAATTATCTAAGAAAAGAGAAAAACCTGGGACAGAACTCTGAGAATACTAATATTTAAAAGTGGAATGTGGCATAGACTAGGAAAAAATGGCCAAAATGATAGGATATAAAATAAAAGTAGTATCAGAATTCCAAGGGCAAAAGTATTTTGAGAAAGAGATCTATATCAAAAACTGCTTCATAGATAGGGATTCTGTCAGTTAAAGAGTAAATTTTACTTTGGATCCTGTATTTTAAAAGATAATACACTTTTGCTTTGTCTACCTTCTTTAGTCATCACAGCTAAATCACAACCTGRTATTCCTTGAATGTCCCCTCCCCTTTTCTTTTCTGATTGCTAATACCAATTCCATGACTCCCCCGACCTTAATGCCTTATTTAACAAAATTAAGTCTTCTTTAAGACTATACATTTTATATTTGTTTACCTACAATATACCACATTTTACCTCATAATCTATAGCTATGTAATTGTTTTAATTTCTTAATGCTCTCTGAAGGCAGGTCACTTATTCAAATATATTGAATCTTCATACCTGGAAAAATCAAACATTCTACAGGAAAATGAACAACAAAATGTTTGAAATGATGAGGTTATATTCTTTTGTAAAGGAAGGACTTATCAAGTAGAAATGTGTCAGAATTTATCGATACATTTTTCAACCTTTTACCTTTGGGAATAAAGGTAAAATGAGAATGTTTTAAGTTGTAGCTAAATTTTTTTTTTAACTTTGTAAGAGAACGCACATGAAGAAAATGACCTATCATTTTACTGAAGCAGATTAATCTTTTAAATCAATGTTAAACTATTTCCTGAAAAGATTTCATTTCTTTTGGTGGAAATTTTAGGGGGATTTTGGTGTTCACAGTAAATTTAGTAAATTTTTGAGATATAGAATGCTATGTCTATATAAAGATATAAAAATATATAGAATGCTATATATATATATATATATATATATATATAAACAAAAAAATGACAAGAGAATTCTTGAAATTTAGAAAGTCTTAAAAATTAAACTTAAGTCTTAAGTTCTACAGCATTGAATATACTGGCTAGGGTAATTTGCTGCTTTAAATTTTTTTTTTCTTTTTTCATCTTACATTTATTAAAGGCACTTTCTCAACCAGAAAGGATTTCATATAAATTTCCTAAGCTCATACAAATTTCATTCTAATATTTATTGTATATAAATAGCTAACATTATTAGAACTCCACATGTAACAATGAGGTACATGACAGTTTGATAACTGGGGCATCAGTTATAATACAGCTGTTCTACTTTTGATGTGTCATATTTTATATTTATATTGCACTGATAAGGTCTGAGTAGACAGGGTGAAGCCTCATTTTGAAATTAATCTCACTGAATTTTGGCTTGTAACAACTTATATAGATAAAATGAGCAGGGTATCTTGGTATTTTAGCTAATAGGTGGAATAAGAACTGGTTATTGCCCACAGTTATCTCTGGTACTTGTCTTACATACAGGAAGTACAGTTGCTGACCGGAGTGTTTTCCCGAAGTAATTCTAGCCAAACATTTCTGAATATTATAATGTGCTATTATTGGTATATAGATTAATTTTTTTATAATACTTAAGTAAATATTGTGAACTTAAAATATCTTAGTTTAATGGAAAATATTTTTCCTTGGGGTCATGATAGAATGATATTTTCTGTTAGTATCTCATACTGTTAGAAATAATACATCAATTAGTAACAGTCTTTAGTGCCCAACTTTCATACATATATGTTAAGCATGATGTTTATTTATTAAAATATTCCATCTGTATAAGAASTGTGTCATTTGCTAAATTTCTGAAAATTAATCTTAGGTATTTTTAAATCTATACATTCAAATTAGTTTTTTTGTAAAGAAAAAGCAGGCTTTGTAACCAGCATATTTTTTGATGTGTGATTTACTGAATCTTCTCATTCTTAGTCTTATTTATTTTTCCTCTTTAATTATATTGTCTTAATTTAATTCTTGTTGAATTTTTATTTTTTGCTAATTTTGATTTTTTTAAGGTGTGAAAATATGAAGGAAGATGAAAGGTGAAAGGTCTCCAAGTATTATTTCTGATGATAGTTTCCTATTTCTTAAATCTTACCTATAAATTTCCACATTGGTTTTCCATAGGCTCTATTGTATAAGTAACTAACTGCTTACAAACCAGCATTTCAACTTGATTTCTTTTTTTATTATTATTATTTATTTTTTAAAAAATTGGTGGTTATAGATGGATAGAATGCCTGTATTATATTTGTTTATTTTTATGCGGTGCTAAGGATTGAACACAGTGCCTCACACATGGAGGGCAAGCACTTTGCCAATGAGCTACAGTCCCAACCCATACTAAAGGGCAGATAACTAGTGTGTACTTGATCTAAATCTAATTAAGAAACATAAAACCAAAAATTTGCAACATTCTTTTAAAGTGGGAATCCATGGGGTTTGTATTTAAAATGTTATTATTATAAAAGACAAAGGCTAAGAGGACATGAATGAATGCAACACTTGGTTTCATTTGCCTATAAGTTCATTCCTAGAGGAATACATGTGTGTTTGTGTATCTATGTATATAAAAAGAATGGGATACATAAAATGTAAACAAAACTATATCTAGATTTACATATGTTATAATCCGTGTCTCTTTCCCTTTTATTTTTCAGGAAAGCAAAATAGATGAACACCATTTTGTTGCAGTAGCTCTTAGGAAACCCAATGGATCTAGACACGAGGATGTAAGAATTTTTTTTTTCTTCAAAGTATGAATTAATGTTTAATCTGTCCTCCCACCTTTTTAATGGAAATAGTTAATATGCCTTACATCAGGTTTGAGATTATGTGTAAGTCTGTGTCACAGAAACTTTTTGAAAGCGTGTGTTACCTGCTTCGTCATTTTCAAATATATTTAAATATTATGGGGAAAAAATGTTGGTAGTATTATCATAGCATTCATATTTTTGTAGAAATTCACTATAATCATTATCTTGGTCATATAAATAGAAATTTATTTCCTTATGAATTGGGGCCGTGTTGAATAAAAAGGGTACTGAATTGAAGGTTGGYAAGTAATAGGATTATCTTGCAATTGAACCTCCTCCCCTTTTAAAGTAATATCTTAAATTATTCCAAAGTTACAGTGTCAAACATGTGAGACATATATTTCTGAGGCTGTTACCTAGTAAGTGAGAGAGGGAAAAAATTGGATTAAAAACTGCAGCTTAGTTGTGGTTCTGCAAAAGTAATTTGTTTAAGATAATGTTATAATCAAAGCTATATGCACTCCATTATTTTTAATGAATCTGGGTAAGAAAATGTAGAACAATCAATTTTCTGTATAGCATCTCTTCTAGAAAAATAACTCAGAACACAGACCATGCCTTTGATAGATTAATCAAAGTGTTAAAATTCTACATAGATTTTTTTTTAAGGATAGCATGTTAAAATTAATACCTGTTATTGACCTAGGCTACCTGTCCTACTAATGATCTCAAATCTCAAYTTCATAACTCCCTGTGGGTATCATGTTTTTATACAGCCTTATYGTTTTTATAGTATCTACATATTCAGTACTATTTTTCCTTATTTCCCTGGTTAGAGCCTGTCCAGCAGTAGCATAATGGAAAGTCTAAGTTCTACACAAGTCTACTATTTTAACCTGTGTGGTAAGCTTGGGAAAATTGTTTGATCTTTAGGAGCCTCAGTTTCCCTATCTATAAAGTTGAAAATCAAAACCATATTACAGCACAGCTATACATAATTATACTATACTTTACAAAACCCAAATGCTATTTATACAGATTAAGTAGCCCTTATCTGAAAGGCTTGAGATCAGAAGTGTTTGGGATTTTTTAAAAATTTTGGAATATTTACTTAGACATATTAAAATACTAAATAATAATAAATAATGATTCATTTGTTTCATATACACCTCATAGCCTATAGGTAATTTTATATATATATAATATTTTTAATGTACCTGTAATTGCTGTGACCTGTCACATGAGAGTTAGATGTGAAATTTTCCATTTGTGGTATCATAATGGCACTCAGTTTTAGATTTTGTAGTATGTTGGCTTTTTAAAAAWTTTTTGAATTAAGAATAAAAATGCTCAACCTGTACTAGAATGTATAGAACATCAAAGATCTATATTGGGTTGTGTCCTGAACAACATCTGTATTGCAGAATAGTAATTTCCTAAAGTAGTATTACATCTGTATACTTAGTAACAGTTTTATCAGATCCCAGATCCTCACTCTAGAGTAGTAGCTTTCAAAAGTTTGCCTTGGGCCTAACTCTGCTTGCTAAAATTGCAGATTTTGAGATTCTTTTAAATTCCTGTCTACTGAATCAGTCTTTCTGGATGCGGGGCTCAAGAAATTTTAAATAACCAGGTTATCATTAAATACAAAAAAGTTTTCTCTTTTTTAAACTTGGTACATTTTCAGTACTAATACAAGGAGTAAAAATATTCTAAAAATTTTACAGTCATACTGTAATCTACTGAAGATATAATTTGGTCTTATTTTTATAATTATAAAATTGTTCATAAGATTACTATACAGTAATAATTACTATACAGTAGGTAATATAATTATTTTAAAATATTAAATATTTAAAACATTAAATATTTTAAAATCTAATTTTTTCCTTTTAGGTTTCATCCCAAGATGATTCTATACCAACCCAGAGGCAGTTTACTATTCTTACCTTTAATGATTTAATWTCATCTGCTGTTCCCATGACACCTGAAGATCCTTCATTTTGGGACTGTTTTTGCTTCACAGAAGAAATTCCAATCCGAAATGGTACAAAGTCATGATATGATTCCCTACATAATAAAGGGAAATGAAAATTGTAATCTTCCATATTCGCAGGAAAAAAAATCAATGCCTGATCAAGTTTTATTTCACAAAAACTTTTTTTTTTTTTAAACTGAAAACTTTTACTATTCAAAAAGCAGATTTCTGGTACAATATGTTTCCCTCTTCTTGTCTGAAATTGCATTGAATTGATAGAAAAAGGCTGGAAGAATTTTACATGTTCATTGTAGAAAAAAATATGGAAAAAGGAAACATTAGGATCCCATCTTTAAACCCTGAGTTCTCTTTCCAGACTTTTCTTGGCCATTGAATCCATGTTAACTTTTTTTTTWAAATGGGAACACACTGTTTTGTAAGTTTTTTAAACTATTTACAATACCTCTGTTACATAAACTTTTAGTGGTTCTAAAGTACTCTCTTCTATGACTAATATCAGTTAAGATGCTTTTGTCTAGAGGTAACATTGTCCAAATGGCTTAAGTAACCAAGGATATTTATTATATAACATATAATAAATGTAAGAGGTTTCATTAAGAATTTTTTTTTTTTTGCCCTCAATTTATTGATTTTGCCTTAGGCTCATCTCATTCCCCAGCATAATGCTATAACTTCTAGTTTTATATCTTCCTAAAATTGCATCTACAAGGCAGGAAAGACCATTTTTCCTGTAAMATTTATTTTATGGTGCGGAATATTTCTCCTAATAGCCTCCACATTATCTCCTCTCATTTTCCATCAACTCAGATTTGGTCATAGAGAAAGCTAGCATCTGACATTTTTTGCCTCTGTTAGAAGTAGATTCTGTTGGGAAAGAAAAAGCTACAGGAGGTTTGGGATTATGGCATTGAGGTGAAGCCCCACTGTCTGGTGTAAGAAATATGTGCCATAATGTACTTATTTTCTTTTGTGTTAGGCATTTTGATTGTCTGCATTATGTTACTGTAAGTGGTGCAGTGAATGCCCTAGTACATTTTGAGACACATGCTTAATTATGTCTTTTAAGAAAGTTTTTAGAACTGGAGTGACTGACTGAAAGGGCTTAAATATTTTTAGAGGTTTGGTAAGTATTAGCATATTGTTCTTCAGAAAAGCTATCCAATTTACACTTCCATTTAGTAGTGTATGTGTGACCATGCCTATCTGTATACTCCCTGGTCAACTGTAGGTATTATCTTTTATCTCCCCCTCCCCCYGTATTTAATCTTTGTCAGTATACCTGAAGAATGTTGTGTCATTTTTTAAAATTTGTATTTCTTTCATTACAAATGAGGTTGATAAACATTACTGGTTATTTGTATTCCTTTTTTTAAATGATCCTCTTGTTCATTGTCTTCAATCTGTTTTTATTTTAGTTAATAGGACTTAATTTAAAATGTGAACATAATATATTAAAATGCCAAGACCATCATATTGATGACAGAATCTATTATATRGTTGTAGTGCATGTCTTGGGAAGTTAGTCTTATTGTTAAATATCAAATAATTTCATTGTTTCTATTACTAACATTGAAAGTGGTATGTAAACTGTATAAAAATAGGTACTTTTGTTAATTAAAAATCTTGGAATGTTTTATAATATTTTTTATTTTATTAAGCATGCTCATTTATTTCAAGCATAATAAGTAATGTGTTTAAAAAGATCAAGTAGCATTTATAATACAGAAAGTATTGTTATCCCTAGCATGAGTGTAATGGTGATATGAAAAACCATTTGTCTTGTCATTATGATAATAAAATAATTAATACTCGTTATGGAGTTTTTATGAGCCTGACAGTGCTAGATTCTGTGTTTTTCAAATTTGATTTTCCTATTATTTTTTAAATCAAAGTTGTACATGTACAACTTGAAAAATTAGTTTTTTCCTAAAGTACTACAACTTTTGACTTTTTTGTAACTTACAACTATATCTCCAGATAATATGCTTATATTACTTTTACTTGATTTTTCAGTTTTAGGGCATTGTTTCTTGGCTTCCTAATATAACCCTTCTCTCTTCTCAACATTATGCATTCTCTACTTATCCCCCTTTCTGCTCTCAACATAATTGTATTCCAGAGTTTTCTTTTTGACTATGGTTACACTTAGAATATATTTACATTTATTTAGGTTATGTAACCTCTGATTACTAAGTGATAATATACTACATTACTATATTTTCATTTCCTTGAATTAATAATTGGCTTTGCTTGGCCTTCAACCAGCTAAATGAATGACTTCTTTATTATATTCAGACCTAATAACATTCTTTCAGGTCCATTCATTTTGTAAAATCACTCCTGAAGCAGTCTGCAGTGTCCAGTCTGGACTGTCTGCCTTCTATGGCTGGTGTACAGCTGTCTTCTAAAATCTTCTCTACTGTCAACTTGGGAATTATTTCTTCTGTTTTGGATTCTGTTTCCTATTTCCTAGATCTTGTATCTTAGATGTCCTCCCCCTCTGGCTAGGGCGTATCTTCAAGTAGCTTCCTAAGAACAGATGGGACTTGGGAGATATGTATTTTTTTAAGGTTGGGAGGAAGGGCAGTCTGCTTCTGCAAAGTGGTGTAGAGGTTGGGGAAACTCAAGATCTTTCTTTCTTTCTTTCTTTTTTTTTTTTTTTTTTTTGGTGTGTGGTATTGAGGGATAAAACCCAGAGGTGCTTTACCACTGAGCTACATTTTTAGCCACTTCCCTGCTGTCCCCCTTCCAGTGCCTTTTTTTTTTTTCTTTTTGAGATAGGATCTAAATTGAAGAGACTGACCTTGAATTTGGGATCCATCTGCCTCACCCTAATTTGCAGGGATTATAGGTGTATGCCACCATGCCCAGCTTCTACCTAAACTTGAGAACCAAATGGGTTTGGACATACACGTATGAACCTATATATCTGATCACAGATATTTCCAATTATTAAAGACTTAAAGAGAACATGAAGAATGCTAATGATGAACTTCATCTTTAGGAGGAAAATAATGCCATCATAGTATGTGTGAATTTGGGATTGGCTAAGGTCTTTGGATAAAATTCTGGTTTATCAGATAATGTCAAATGACTTCCTTAAGTGTCTTGTCCAAGTTAATTATATTAAATAGTTGTCTTCCACACGAACTGTTTCATACTTAGGTTGTTTAATCATCTTATGGGATTGGTTCATTTTGCTGATGGGAAAACTAAAGTGCTGAAATATTGAKCAATTTAATAAAGATCATGCTGTCCTTTGCATAGTGGAGCACTTTTTTTTTTTTTTTTTTTTAACTAGGGTTGCACAGCCACTGAACTACTTTCCCAGTCATTTTTTATTTTTTATTTTGAGAGAGGGCCTCAGTAAATTGTTAAGTGCTGAGGCTGGCTTTGAACTTACAATCTTTCTGCCTCAGTCTCCCAAGTCACTGAAGAGATGTGCACACCACCACTCCAGGTTCAATCACTGTATTAACCTTAGGGGTGCTGGAAATTATTTAACAACCAGCAATAGTGGAACAGTGATAGTGGAATCTGGGACCTCTGTAGCTTTTGCCACAAAAACAGTGAAATATATACCTTTAGGAGACACAAGACAGCAAGTGGGTACCTGATTTATCTAAATCTGTTGAAAGAAACTTTGGAGTTAAAGCAATACAGATAGTAAGGAGAATGCAAACTTGGCTACATTTTAAGTAAAAATGGCTTAAGAGAATTTTTTTTCCCCTAAAAGTTAAGTCACCATTCTTTGCTTTTAGAATCATTTGTTCAGTGGAAAAAACTTAAAAGGAACCATCATTAGAAGGAAAAAGCTACCTAAGCAGTAGCATCTGATGCTTGGCCTAATACACTCCTTAAAGATCATCTTCAGGACTGTCCTTGTGCTATGTGTATGACCACTCCTGCTGGCCTAGAAGCCCTCAGCAGTAGAAGAGTAGGAGCCTAYAACTTGGTGGTCCTGAAAATACCCTGTTTTCTATCGATACTGAGTGTATTTTAAAGCCCTTTCTATGCTTTTGTAGTATTGCATGAGTAGGAAGCCTACTTAACTGGTGGTTCTTTTCCCCTTTAAGTCTAGAGATTTTCACCTTGCTTGGTACCCAAGAAGGCTAATGTCCAGTGCCCTGTATTAACCAGGCTCCCTTTTTCATGATTGGGTTCTGCAAATGGAAGGGACCATTAGAGGAAGGGTGGTAAGGGAAAGAGGTCAAGATGATGATTCTTTTGCCTTCTCCCTTCTATTTTAGCTGCTTTCCTTAGCAAAACATAAGCCCTCTTTCTTCCACATACAGGTTTCACAAGTTCTGAAGCCACTTCTCCTTGCCCTTTCATTTTAGGAGTAGAAACATCTTGTTCCTGTTTAGCCCAGACTGCTTCTCTATCTCTTGTAGGTCTCTTTTTTTCTTGCCTACTCTTTCTTCAATCATTCCTTCTGGGTGTACTGTTTCCCACCCAATCTCTCAGCAACATCACATTTGCCTACCTTCCAATATCTGTACCCACAACTCTGGCTTTCCTGTTCTATGGAGGGTCCATTCCTCAGTAAGACACTTTGAACCACTCATTCTATCTCACTACTCAAAAATGCCACTTCAGGAGCTCTTTCTTCTGCTTCACCATTTGTTTCTTAACTGAATCATTCTCTTCAGCTTCAAAACTTGAGTTGTTATCCTCTTGAAAAAAAAAAAAAAAAAGGAGTAATTAATCCCCATCTGCTACCTCCATCTCTCATTTCTTTTGATACAATAGCATGATACATTCTCAATGACTCCAAACTCTTTCCTCTCATTTTTTTTTCCCTTTAAAAACCTAATTCTCATTAGGGCTTAACTCCTACCAGTCTTATGAAAATGGTTCTTACCTCATTAATGAATGGCATTCACATTTAAGAAGCAACTAGGCAATTCTCATTGTCCAATTTCTTGGCTAACTTGAGTGCATCTTATAAACAGTTACTCCTTCCTTCTCTATTTCTTCCAAATACTTTGTTCTAACTTACTTCAAAGGCCCTGTAGGTTACTTGGGTCCTTGTCCCACCCACTGGGCACTGCTTACCAGTTGGCTTCTCCTCATCTTCCAAAACTGTGGCACACCTCAAATCATGGTCCTCATACCTCCTCACTTTATTGCCCATACCTACATTTGGTGATCTCATTCACACCTGGGCATCAAATACTATCCAAATATTTA